CCCAAGAGGTGATGGACAAAGGGGCTGGGTCTCCAACCACCTCTTAGCATTCCCCGCCAGAGAATGGGGGAAGAGGTGAAGGCGGATTGCGTCATCCGGGACACCGTTCAGCTTGAACCCGTTCGTCAGCTGCAGAAAACGGGAAAGATGTACCCGGGCTTCCTCATCCTTCAAGCAATGGAACTGGATAGAGGATGTGATGAGCTGAATCCAGCCTGGCTTGATCTCGAAGTTGTTTGCAGGAATGGGCGGATAGAGGATGACCGGGCGGATGTCAGCAATCCTTGGAGTATAGTAGTACTCCAGGGTGGGACCCGGTGGTGGTGGATGGTGATGGTGCCCAGCTCCCTGGTGGTGTTGGTCGTTCCCCAGGATCTGGTTCTGAGGAGGCGGGTTCTGATCGCCTTCCATCTCGTGCTCGTCGTCGGAGTCGCTGGTCAATTGGCCAACATGGCGCTCCACCGTAGCCAGTCTAGCTTGCTGTTGTCTCCGAAGTTGTTTGCAGGTGCGCTCAATCTCAGGGTTCAACGGCAGTAAACCTCCCGACTGGCTACGGGTCATGCACTATCTGCACACAATCAAGCAATGCAAACCCCGTGAAGGCACAAGTGGGAAAAACAGAAACTCAATGCAAAAAAAATGAAAATGCTAAAGTAACAAAAATCACTTTTCTTCAACAACCTAGCCGTCCCCGGCAACGGCGCCAAAAACTTGACTCGCTGTTACTGTCACTCTAGAAATTGGCCAAGTGTAACCACTTCCTAAAGCGTAGTATAGCGGGTTTGGGTTTTAATGTCAACCCGGGTCCTAGATGTGATGACTACTCAGTGAATTCGTATTATCTAGCGATGAAACTTTAGTGAAGGTCTAAACTAACAAGCAAGCAAAGCAACTAAACGGTTGGTTTCAGGTTAAGAGAGGTCACCCGGATATGGTTCCCCCTAGACTGCAGTTAAGCCGGATTGTAATTGCCAAGTTCGATTTCTATGAAAGTTATACTGCGGAAGGTTCTCAAACAGTCTGAAGTCTCGACTAAAGGTCTTCAGACCCTCTCAATCTGAGTCTCTAGCTGGCGACTAACCTACACCGGAGTAAACATATTGAGGCCCTATGAACAAAACCTCCACTACCGAATGGAATTCGGTACAGAATAGTGAACTGGCTCCTCGACTAAAGTCACCAATTCACTACCTTCGATTAAGGATACTCTATCAACCTAGGCAGATATTATCATTCTAGGTTAAAGCAGAAACAACAGGAATTTGATCAGGATTCAAGTCATTCAATCATTCAAACCTCAATCGAATATAATCAAATCATAGAAACAGTACTTGGGTTCATACAATCAAACCTAACATGCAGAACTAGGGTTTCCTACACCCAGATGAATGGGAGAACTACTCCATGGAGAGAGAAGCAAAAGCAGAATCAGACGCGGAAATCATACTGTGAAGATGGATTTCTGCTCCTGGACGTTGAATCGGCACTTCTCCAAGCTCAAACCAAGCTCCAATGGTGTTGAAGATCGATCTAGGGCACTTGGAGGCTCTTGTTCGTCGCTTTCTCTCTCTAGGAACCGCTCTGTCTCTCAAAAACTCGAATCCCCTTCTGTTTGGCTCGGAATCCGCTTAAAAACCAAACTTTCCCCGAGTTGCACGGCCAGGTGCACGGCCGTGCACTACACCATTCTGGCCGTGCAGCTCTAAAACGCAGCGTATCCACTTAAGTCGACTCAGCCATCTTGCACGGCCAGGTGCACGGCCGTGCAAGTCTGGATTGTGCCCGTGCAAGCTCTCGCACCAACCCGCACGGCCAGGTTTGTATGTTGCACGGCCGTGCGGTACTCTGCTCTGCCCGTGCGTGGCCTCGGCATGAGGCGCACGGCCATATGGCTCAAGTGCACGGCCGTGCGGCTCCATGGTCTGGCCGTGCGGCTCCCCAACAAGCTCGCCCTTCGTCCGTTCGTCGTCCAATCGACCCCAGACTCGCTCCTAAGCCTTCATTCACGTACTAGGACCTGAAATAACACAAACAAGCACAACCTAGCGTGAAATCGGCCTAAAACACGAGAATCAACACCTCAAACGGAGTAAGAGCAGGGGTAAAAACATGTGTAACTAACGGTCTATCAAGTACTTAGCAAATTAGCCGGTTCCCTTGTTAGTAATGGGCTTGTGATGGCTAATCTTCTATGTTTTGTCATTATTTATGTCAAATTGTTATGGCTAATGTTCTATTTTTTTATTTATTAATGAGGTAGAATGAGCAAAAGAGCGAAATGTAAGTTGAATAATTTTTAATTGATTTAGAATGCTTGAGTATTTATTATAAATTCTCTATTTATAATATTTTTGTTTATTAGTCATCGGTTCATTAGTGGGTTCACCAACGACTTAACACCGGTTAAAACCATACCATCGACAATTAGGCTGGAAAACCTCCTATCCTACCGGAGTCTAAATCGATATGTGATTTTAAACGTATAAAATAATTGATGTGGTTAAATCACGATTTTAAAACAAAATATCCTATAACTAATTTTTCCGATACAATTTCTAGTGTCGTTCAATGAAGAAAATACAAATTTAATTCACAATTCATAAGTAGAATATTAACATACAAACAAATTATTTTCATATTATATAACCAATAAAATAACATATTCATCACACTTCCCAATACACACTTTTCTTCCCACTTTCCTTCATAAAACAACATTTTCCTTCCAATTTCCTTCACCTCCAACTCTCCCCTCCCTTCCTAATTTTCCTTCACCTCCCCTTCTTTTCCTCCCTTCCTTCGGAAACAGAGGGGTAGTAAACAATGATGAAAGTCGTAAATGATAGGTAGTATACTCATACTATCATGTATTCAACCTTCTTACCATATTGGTATGTTCATACCATCATGGTACGCTTTCTTACCATATGGTATTAAATAGGAGCATACCATATGGTAATGACTAGTAAAAAATAATTCAATTTTTTTGTACTAAAAAATATCAAAGTTGATATCATTTTAAATAACACATTTAATTTGATTTATCTGTGTATAAAAAAATTAAATTTTGACTTAAAACGAGAGAGAAATCGCTCGTTAAAGATTAAAGAGAAAAAGATAAAAGATTTTCCAGGATAGAGAGTGATACGGATGTCATGCTGATGTAGACGGGTTACTCATGGTTACTGACCTGATCCGTTTCCGTTGTGCCACCAGTAAGCATAATTAGTAAATACTCTGTTTAATACACGTATATGTACCCGTACGTATTTTATCCGTTTAAAATTTATGTATCCGTTTCATTTTTTTCCGTTCATTTGATGTCTCCCGTACTAAACACGTATAAAACCCATATATCACGTTTAATATCCGTATTTAATGAATTAAATTGTTAATTTTACTATTATTTACATATTTATTTTTAAAATAATTTAATTTATATATTTATGAATATTAACGTACTATTAAACGTAACATTAGCTTAGAGATGACGTAAAATACACATACGTATTTTATACGTAACTTTCCTATACAATATTTTACTAAAAAAAAAAAACTTATATCACCCTTATCTAAAAAAAAAAAACTATGCCAGTAAATTTGATATTTTTATGGAAAGTTGGGTCATGGATAGCTCATACCAGGGATAGTTATCGTTTATTTGTTTTTTTAAGTTAGTGGTTTATTTTTTTTCTGTTGGTACGCTAGTTATTCTTTATTATTTTTCTTTTGGTTCTTTTTGGATTTAGTTTTGTAGCGCCTAACTCCATTTACTGCTTTTTATATTTGTTTGGCCCGGAAGACCTCTCGTCCCACTAACTCTTTGGGTTCACTTCGGGATGGTGGTTTTGTTGACTGGGTTTAATCTGTCCTCTGGGATGCTGCTTTCTTTAATAGTTCTTTTTGTAGGACTTTCATTGGCTTGCTCACCCTGTTGAGGGTTCTTGGTGGAAGCTCGCTAGTTGGGCTATATATTCGTTTCATTTTGCAGGTGAAGATGTTCACGCTCGTAGACGTGGGTGTAGGTGCCACGATGCCGACAGATTGACTATATGGAGCGGGAGTCTTCCTGCCAGACCTTTAAGGATTTGCTGCTCTGCTTCAATTTTCAGCATGGTAAGTTCATTATTTTGATCCTTTAAGGGAAGAAATCATAATATTTCCCATGTCGTTCAGGTATCATAAGGCTGCCAATATCGTGGCAGTAAAGCCCTATTTTGTCATACCTACAATGGTCTTTTCCTTTTTCATTTGTGATTGGACCTGTAAAGGTCATGTATATTGTTATATACTTCGTATCTGTTGTTCCCCTTTGGGGATATCAATAGCAAAAAAAAAAAATTACTCTTCTGATAGCAAACTGGTTGTGTTTAGCATGCATTTACCTCATCATCGACACCCGATTCATTCGATCGGAAAATAACATCTGAAGCGTGTTTTGACATCAAACAGTAAGGATCTTGAGCTTTCTGATATATGAATTCATCTAACAGATGCCTAGTTCATGTTCTTCATTTTGTCTACTCATACCACTGACAACTCACTAAGTTATTTGTTGACAATAGAACCACTAGTGATCCCTGCAAGCTAAATTGAAAAGCTCATCTCCATGTGAAGACAATACCAGAATCTCATTATTTCTGATGTGGAATTTAAGTCTCGGACTTTGCGAGTAGGATCCTGCTGGCATGGTGATCAGGCACTATAATTAACCTAATATTACAAAAATTGGCAAGAAAAGTCATCTTGTTGCCCACCAAGGTGTATATTTGTTTGTACCCTTCATGTGGATGATAGGGTACTACTTCGGCGAAATTCGACCACAGAGCCGCCACAAAGCATCGTTATTGAAAAGGGATTTCTCGAATACCCAAATGTCACGGACAAGGACCTGGAAAGTTCAAGTATGAGTACCTTATTAATGGAAAGAAGTTGCAACCGAGTCAACTAATATATGGGAGAAGTGATAATTATCTATTATTGGGCAGAATACGAATGCACTATACCTCCTTGTTCTGGTTACCAGCTATGACAATACCTTTTGAATCATAAGCCTCAAACTTCTGCAAAGGGGTAAGTAGAAGATGACTTAACCGAAATGAGAACCAAAAGTTCTTAGAAACCCAAAATAGCAATATATTAGCTGCAGAAATGAGACGTTTATCTTCATGGAGCATTTCAAGCATTCTCTATGTAATTGAATTATATGTCATGGATGTTAGAAACAAGGTTTCTAACGGGTTACAATTTGGGAAAATAACTAGATCAACGAGGTGATGATCTAGCTAGGGATTTAGAATGGGAAGAGTTGAAGAATCAGAGAGAGGAGGGAGGGTTGATGCCGCGAAAACCTTGGATAGGAAAAGAGAAGAAGGAGACGTGGGGAGGTTAGGAAGAGAGGAAGATAATTAGGTTTGATTATTGTGATATGTAATTGCCTAATGGGAAAACAGTCCGCCCTTCTACCCCTCTATGTCCCGCCGGCGATCGCCCTTCTGATCGGGGACCGTGGAAAGGTGGATAAGAGGGTCCTGAACCACTGCCGAACTCTCTCCTGGCTTCTGGTCCCCTGCTACCCGCTCCACCTGGTATATGGTCGGTTCTATTCCGTTCCGGTCCAGTTCATCCCATTCCGGTCCAACCCATTTCGATCCACCCGAGTCGATTCGGGTCGGTTTGGCCTGCTTCGGACCACTCGCCCCGTTCCGGGCCCCACCCAGGTGGCCGATCGGCCTCTCTCACCGGGCCCCGCCCGATTGTACTCATTCCTGGTTTGGCCCAACACTTTGGTTGCCCGGCCAGGCCCAACTCATCTTCTTCTGGGTCCGTGTCCAGCCACCCAATCCAGTTGGGTTCCTTGCCACGACCCAAATCCGCTCCTTGGCCCACCGAATGTGGCGGCCCAAAAATCAACTGGGGCCCAAGGTCGTCATAGCCTGGCATTTTTGCTTTTCCCCGTATTGCCACGATCTCTTGGGCCGACGGGGTTGGTAACAGGCCCGACCCACGGCTTCTCCCACGCGCGCCGTCGCCCGACGATCCGCGTTTCTTGGCTCCACATCTGCTGCCTTTACCCCTTTGACCTTCGCCGCTTCTCCTGCCAGCGCCGCCACCGTTTTCCCTCGGAGCCAGTGCACCTAACTCGACCGAGACCGAGGTCGGTCTCACTGTGTTCTCTACTTCGGTCTCCTTCACTTGCAACGATGCTACTGCCCGCGTGAGGTTCTCCAGCATCTAGCGAAGGCCCTCAGAATCCGACTTCGCCTCGGCCTGCACCCTCGCCAGCCCTTCTTCGAGCCGAGCCAGCGCCCCTCAGTGTTCTTGCACCACCAACCTCACCGCTTCGAGCTCCGTCTCGTCCTCCACCACGCCATCGGTGCCCCTATCTAGGGCCTTGGTTGTCTTTTCGGTGGCCGCAGCCTGGGTCGCCTTGTCTACTGCTGTCTGCGACTTTGTTTGCACCATTGTCTTCTTCTGTCTGCCCTGGTTCAAGAGTTATGCGAAACCCACTCTCGAACTGAGCTCTGATACCAAATGTTAGAAACTAGGTTTCTAACGGGTTACGGTTTGGGGAAATAACTAGATCAATGAGGTGATGATCTAGCTAGTGATTTAGAATGGGAAGAGTTGAAGAATCAGAGAGAGAAGAGGAAGGGTTGCTGCCGCGGCCGCCTTCGAGAGGAAAAGAGAGGAAGGAGACGTGGGGAGGTTAGGAAGAGAGAGGAAGAGAATTAGGTTTGATAATTGTGATCTGTAATTGCCTAATGGGAAAAACCCACTAAACAGATTATATAGTCATAATAATATGTGTTCCCTACCCGAACCAAAATGACATAACAATCGACTCCCCAATTATTCCTCGAATTTCCCAAATAATTCCCAAACATCTAAAACCGAAAAATAATCCCGAATAACAGAAAACCACAATTAATAGGTTTCTAACAATGGAGCCCTTTAAAACCCATTTCTTTACTAAAACATAGTTTCAGTCATGTAAATCTTGGAGAGACCTATAAGAAATAACATAATCTATGCAAAAACCAATCGCCAAAGGAAAACAAAGCATGTAGAACTAAACATGGGCAGTCTTTACTTGTTTGGTCAAGAACTCAAGTGTTAGTTGTATGAACGCTTTATTAAGATCATTTTTATCAACACCAATCTGCCATCAAACAAGTAAAGAAATGCATTGTTGGTTTAGCACAAAGGAAAATGAGAAATTACTGCTGGAATACAATGAAAAGGTTGTGCGTCATGAAGCTACAACTCCAAATTAACTGTCAATGGAGCATGTAAGTTATTTAAAAAAGTCAAGAGCAAATACGTGCCAGTCGGGCTCTCAAAGTCCGTATCTTGACAACTGGTTCAACCATTTCCCAATATATTCTACTCCACCTTGATTCTCTGTTCTTGATCTCATTTTTAAGTTACTGCAAGAAAAAGGGAGTGAAAAACAATAGAACCCGTGGGATTCAAACATTGACACAGACCGGAGGTGGGGAGGAAGAATAGTTATGCTCCATTAGTAAGATTGTAAAGCACGACAGCCTACCGACTACATTTTCTCTGTAACTACTTTCCTAATTGTGGTTTTATCTCCGTGTGCCAGCAGAATGTTTATCTGAGGAAGAAACAAGAAAAACAACAATGGCACTTATTAAATCGATGCTCATGCTAATAACAAATATTTGACAGAAGGATGTAAACTGACTTCCTCGTATAATGGAATGGCCTCTTGGTAGAATTTGTTTTTGGAGTATCCAGATTTCCTCAACTTAGAAATTGCACAGGCACTTTTCATCTGCAGAAAAGAAGATAAAACAACACTTGACGACACTATGTTGGTTTTACTGCTTCATTCGTGTAACAGACGAATCAACAAAGACTTATGCAAAATCTATGATGATATCCTCTTTTGTTCTTCTCCAACCACATCTGGTGAACCATATGAAACGATAAAAACATGAACAGGAATGAGATCATGGACTCATTTTCATTCGAACATACAGATTACAGTTGTGTTTAACTTTGACTTAATCATCTTACTTCATGGATTTAAGCAAACCCAAAAGCAGCCCTCGTCACTTACCTTTTCCAAAACCAGATTTGTTCACGTGGTGCGTAAGGTTCATATACGATCCCTGGATTTGACATGGACACTTGAGATCCCTGCAACAAAATTGTTGCAAAGTGTAAATCCCCCACAGTTGATAATTATACTTCATCTACAAATATGAATACCAAATGCTTATCAAACTAAGCTAATGAACTTATTGGACTAAAATACATGGAAAAAGCAAACAATGGAATACCATCGGTCGTGCTTGCGGTGGTGCTTTAACCTGCAATGTCGATGACTCGCTAAAACACAACTCCTAACAGTGGCCAAGTGTAACCAATGAAAGGGACTGCAGTATAGTGGTGCAAGTAATAAATATCGAATCCATGGGTCTCTAGAGTTACTATTACTCAGCTTCAGTTTATTATCTAACAAACCAGATTAAGAAAGAAGAACTATAACTACTCTAGCAAACTAAAGTTAAAGTTAATCTAATTACAGGTTGGGAACTCACTGAGGTATGATTCCACCTAGCCACTAGCCAGATTAATGATTGATGATATTTAACCTGTTCACTTTCATTCACAATGCAGAGAATCCTTGACTAGACCTTGAATCTCGACTAAAGGATCAAGGCCCTCTCGAGTCAATTTCCTAGAGGGACGTATCCTTCTCTAGAACAACCGATCAAGGCGTTCTGAACTAGATTCCCTCTATCGATATAAAGCAGTGAATTGACCCTCGACTAAAGCAATCGATCCAATACTATCAATCTATGGTGCTCTATTGATCTAATCAGGCATTCGCTCTCATAGGATCAAAGCAGAATCAATAATTTCGACTAAAGCAGAATTGAATAATGAAAACATGCATAGATTGAATATGAACTCAAGATTATCAAGTAAGAGTACTCATACAATCATCCAATCAAACAAACATGGCTAGGGTTCCTCAAAACCTAAGTGAAGGAAAGTTACTCCATAGAGAAGAGAGAGAATGCAAAAATCTGATCTAGATCTTCAATCTCCATCTCCAAGCTAGATTCCCGAGCTCCAATGGTGAAGAAATCCTCCAAAATAGCTCAAAGAATTATCCCAAGTTGGTCTCTCTCTCTAGGGTTCGTCCCTTGGGTGTTTTGGAATCCAAAACCCAGCTCTCCCCATCTCCAAAATCCGAAGTTGGGTTAAAATGCAGCTGTACGCGATTACACAGTCAGGCCGCACGGCCGTGCAACATCCTTGGCTGCCCGTGCAACCAAAACGCAGTGTTTGAATTAGTTCGCGAGGGGAGTGCACGGCCATTGCACGGTTCGTGCAATCCGAGAGCCTGGCCGTGCAGCTTCTTGCAGAATTCATCACTGCCAGAAAATAAGTCGTGCACGGCCGTGCACACCCTGGTCACACATCTTCGCTTGCACGACCACCATGCACGGTCGTGCGTCTTCCCGGACTGGTCGTGCAACTCGTCTACTCTCCATCGCTCGTCCCGTCTTCTCCCAACCGACTCCAAACTCTTGTTCAAACCTTCATTCACGCATTAGGACCTGAAATGTCATAAAAAAGAACATCCTAGCATAAAATCGGCTTAAAACCCGAGATCAGAGCCTCAAACAGTATAAGAATGGTGGACAAAACATGTGTAAATATCGAGTCATCAAATTCCCCACACTTAACCGTTTGCTTTTTCCCAAGCAAACCAAGTTAGACACAAGGCCAACTTACAAAAGTTTTCAGTCAAACAGTTTTAGGGACACGACACATGACACAAAACATAGTGATCTCCACAGATGACTAGCACCGACATACGAACAACATCAACACCAACCTCAATGACTACTCAGATGACACCCAACTGCAGCAAAACCATGCAAAGGAAAAATCAGACTACTGTTCACATACCAAAACGTGACAAGCCCCATCTACCCATGCATCCCAGTCAACCATGAATAACGTTCAAACAACCAGAATCAAACGCAGCGCAATCAAGGCCCTCACCGGGATATAGTATAAGAAAAAAAATCGCTCATTCTCGACTAGTGGGGTCAGGACATTGTGGTGCAAAAAATGTGCACATTCATTCTCTCAATCCTACCGTCTCTTCGCCATGATTGCAGCCTCTAAGGGTTAGAGTTCACAAAGCTGATGTTACCACTAACTTGTCAGGAGGACTTGACCGGGTTCAGATGCACTGGTTAGGGTCTAGGACATGGGGAACATGATTTTTAGGTGGTGGTAATTTCAAGCACAGAGTCCACAGTTCCAAATCAAAACAGCACAATCAAAACATTAATAAAATAGGTTGCACATCTCTGCTATCACTGCATTAGTCAATTTCCAATCACAAGAATGTAGGAGTTAAAAATTATGAGAGTGTTCAAAGCCAATTCTCTAAAATACACTGGTTAATGAGCATTTTTCATTTCTTTTGTGGCGGCTCTTTGTTTCCATTATTATTATTATTTTTTTCTTTTTCTTTCAATTTCTAGAGCCACAAACTTGCCACATTTTTCGATTACATGCATATGCTCAATCCTTTAAGAACATCCTCCTAAATTCATTTTCAAAGACAACATATATCAAGCACAAATCACTATGTGGAACCTCTGCAAAGTCAACAAAGGGTTCTATACTAAAGACAAAGAAGGCAGTCACAAAGCTCAAAGAGGCTGGTTAGGGGATATGACACACCAGGACAGAAAATTTGGTCGTGGGCTATTCCTATGCCTCCGTCTTCCTCATTAGTGGTAATGTGATGCTACAAATCATGGTAAGAGGGATCTAATCGCATAGAAAGAAACGAACGGCTCAAATCTCACAAGGCTTGCCTACATGCTCTATCTCTCCTTCTGGTTTCCTGAACTAGATGCATAGAAGACTGGGGACGGTGGGTCGGTGATTCATGTCACAAGTTGGTTTGCAAACAAAAGTCAAACTGAACCCCTACACACTTCTACTACAGTTCTTAGTCATCATCATAGTCATCTCGATCACAAACAAGCCATTCATGCAACAATACTAACCATCATCAGAGATCACAAAACAAACAGGTGCCAATGTGCTCATGCAAGAGAAAACATTACTTGGAGCCCTCAATTTTATAATTTGGACAGTGGACTAGGCCGGTGGTGCATTCCATGGGAGAAAGTAGAGAAAGAGCAGTCGAAACACAAACACCACACAAAATCTTACAAAGGTTGAGTTATTGACTCTAAAAGCAAAAGACAAACTGACTCAACCGAAGAGAAATAGGGAAAGAAAGTGCAAACCGACTGGTTGGGTTGCCTCCCAACAAGCGCTTCTTTCACGTCATGAGTCGGGCGCTGGCTCTTAAGTTTCGGTCCATGCTAGAACCTCCTTGAAGTCGAGGTTCTCGTCGACGAGGCAAAGTCTCAAGTCACGAGCATGTGGTATGACAGGTGATGTAGGCTCGTGTACTTGATGAATATGAAGTCTCCACCCACGAGACCTCTTTTTTTCTTCCTCTCTCGACTCGTTGCCCCAAACCAGATATGACATCATCGACTGAACACCATCGCGTCCACCAAAAGGGACCGTTGTCGATGTGGCCTTATTCTGGCAAAAAGACACTGCAAATGGGTCCTTTCCAAGGAGCTTCTCGAAGTTTGGTGGAGATATCACCTGTAACTCATGGTCGGTGCAAGCCTCTTCCACCTCAACTTCGTCCTACGCTTGGACGCCTATTGCATCTTCAACTCCCCTTCTGTCCTCATTATTTGATTCCTTCCCTTGGAAAAGATCAAGAACTTCATCTAATTCACCTCCTTCATTCTCCACAACTTCTTTCCTCATCCGTTCTTGCTCTTCTTCTTCTTCTTCTAGCATGGATAGGAGAGCAAGTCGCCATGCAATCTTTTAAATAAAATCAGCTTGCATCTCCTCACTCATGCCCACCTCTTCAACGCCCGGTGTGGGATGCGGAAAGGTATGGTCGGCTACAACAGTACATTCCTGCTCATGATCATCACAAATCTCTTCGTGACAAACTCTGTATGCTCCACGATGTCCTCGTAGCCTTCATCTTACTCCTCTTCTAGTATGGTAGCAGAAGGGTGATCTTGAGCAAGTTGTGCACAAACTTGCTCAACCCGCTCTGTTTGCTTTGCTGAGTGCGGAACAGTCTCCTCCGATTCACGAAGGGATGAAGAGTTAGGAGGAGCAACAGATTGGAAAAAGAGGTCCATCTTGCGATTGTGTCTCTCGATGTCCCGAGCAAACTGATGTATGAAAAGTCCCAATTGACTCAATTGACTGTTCGGATCTGGCCTTGGAGTGTAGCATGGCTCTGCATAATGGCTCGTGAAGGCCACCATGGCTAACTCCAGCTTCGATGGCCCTTCTGGTTGTGGGAGGAATTCTTCTTGATAAGGATACTGTTCTTGAAATGTTCAAGGGCCTGGTTGTTCTCCGTAGAAAGGGAGTTGGTACTGGAACCCGAATCCATAGTCTTCTCCTCCTTGATTGGTCCAGGAAGTTTCGGGGTAATACTACTCGGATGGTGATGGATACCCCCAATGGTTGGAGAAGCCATGATGATCCATGATTCAGATCTGTACCAACAAAAACAAAAACACCCAAGTGAAAAGCAAGGGTGGAAAAGAAAAGAAAACCGCTACAGTAACAAACTTATGCCTTTCCTAATGATCTAGAAAGTCCCCGGCAACGACGCCAAAAACTTGACATGCTAAAACACAACTACTAATAGTGGCTAAGTGTAACCAATGAAAGGGATTGCATTATAATGGTGCAAGTAATAAATATCGAATCCACGTGTCTCTAGAGTTACTATTACTCAGCTTCAGTTTATTATCTAGCAAACCAGATTAAGAAAGAAGAACTATAACTATTCTAGCAAACTACAATTAAAGTTAATCTAATTACAGGTTGGGAACTCACTTAGGTATGATTCCCCCTAGTCACTAGCAAGATTAATGATTGATGATCTTTAACCTATTTCACTTTCATTCACAATGCAGAGAATCCTTGACTAGACCTTGAATCTTGACTAAAAGATCAAGGCCCTCTTGAGTCAATTGCCTAGAGGGACGTATCCTTCTCTAGAACAACCAATCAAGGCGTTCTGAACTATACTC